GCTGAACTAAAAGTCATCTGCTTAGCAAAGCAGCCAATCAATAGAGTGAAAACTCAACCTGTAGAACGGGAGAAAACATTTGCAAACCATGCATTTGGGGACCACATCCAAATCAGGCAGGGAATTCCTACAAGTCGACCGAGAAACCACAGACAATCCTGTAAGAACAGGCCAAGCACGAAGCGTTTCTCTAAAGATATGCAAATGGTCAATAGTTTTATGAAAGATGCCCCAAATTGCTAATTATCATCAGGGATATTCGAATGGAAACCACAATGAGCTATTACACACTTGTTAGGACGAACACTATTAAAAAGCAGCTAGGCACTCGCTCGTAATCCCATCACCCAAGAAGTGGGCAAAACTCATGGGTCTAAATAGTGCGTTTGAGGCCAAGTTTGGCTACAAGAAACTCTGTCTCAAAAACAAAAAGCAAGCAAACAAACAAAAAACCCACCAACAATAAGTGTATAAAGTAATGAATGTGGAAGCTTCTCAAAAAACTGAAAATAAAACTACCCTAAAACTACTCGGTTCTACCATCCGGAGCCTATAATCAAAGGGCTCTATATTCTTCCATAGACATTTGCACATCCATATTTATTGCAGCTCTATTCATAATAGCAAAGGGATGAGACCGCTTAGATATACAAAACAGATGAAGGGCCAATGGAAACATGGTATTTCTACACAATGGAATTTAAATATAGTCATTAAGAAAATCGAAACTATGAAAATTGCAGGAAAATGGGTAGAACTGGAAGATATTTTATTAAGCTAGTCTAGGATCCGAAAGACAGATAACGTATGCTCTCTCCCATATGTGGGTCCCATAATAGCTTCTCATTGTTAAATATGAGTATGGAGGTGGGAGGAAGTGTGGGCAGAGGACAGGAAGCTAGAGAATGATCAAGGATGGAAAAAGGAGGCCTTAAGGGAGGGGCGTAGAAGAAGCAATAGAACACACGAGATGTGAAAACGGAAGGAATATGATAGGAGCTGAAGGCTGTACACCAGGGATGCAGGAATGAGGAGACAGGAGAGGAAGCAATGGGAGGGAAACTACGTATGAAAATGTCAGAAGAAAACTACCACTCTGGAACCTAATAAAACTCTAAAAAGTAAAACCAACCAGATTTGGTGGGTAAAAAACTGACCAGATACAAAAACTTTAAAAAGTAATCTTTTTTTTTAATTACATAATTCGATGTGAGAAGATCACTTTTAATCCGGATCTTTTGAGGTGGGAAGATCCATTTTTAGTCTAAGCCACACCTGCAGGTAGTCTAAAGGATGGGGAAGAAGGAAGCTTGCTTTCTTTCGCTGCCTCCTTGCCCTTGCTGGTGCCGGCAAGACCGTTCTTTCACTGACATTACAACCTACTTTTTCAGAATTCTGGCTTGTACTTAAGATCAGCCAAGACAGCCAGCCTCATGGGATGAACAGCTACTGGATTCTTGGACCTTCCATTGGTAGACAGCCAGTATGGGACTAGCTGGATCACAGCCTGTAAACCGTTCTAATAAATCCCATATTCTGGTTTCCATAGTGAGCGCACCACTGTGCACTTCAATCAATTGTTCCCAATAGCCAAGAGAGGAAGGACTTGTAAACACTCTCTGAGGGGTGAATGGATGACACAAATGGGCTAGAGAAGTACAGTGGAATATTGTTCAGTTCTTAAAAAGAAGGAATTGCTATCATAGACAACAACACAGATAAACCTTGGATTGCATTACGTTAAGCGGAAGAAGCCAGTCATAGGAGGAACTACTGTATGCTTCAACTTCTATAAGGAATATGCAGACTGGCGAATGGATAGAAGAGGAATAACATGGCGGTTGGCAAGAGTTAGAATAGGTAAAGAGGAGGTGCTGTGTAGTGGGCATAAAGTTTAGGATCTAGGGATCTGCTGCACAACACTGCCTCTAACAGTGCAGTACAGTGCCGTTAACGATTCAGGTCTCACGTAAATGCTTTCACCATGATTTTAAGACACCACCGAATAGGGGCTAGAGAGATGGCTTGGAGGTTAGGAATATTTGCTGCTCTTTCAGAGGGCTTCCAGAGTTTGCTTCCTAGAACCCACATCAGGGCTCACAGCCTTCTCTCATCCCAGCCGAAGAGGCTGGTCCTCACGGGCAGCTCCACTCACGTGTCTCACATGCAGACGCACATACCTACACATTTGTTTCTAAAGCACCTAATAAACTAAACAGTTCACGGCAGATAATTATAACAAAAGAAATAGGGGAGAGCAGTGGAGTAGTAGGCAGGGAATTTCAAGAGGCTTCCAGATGTAATTATGTTTCAGCCTGGTTCTCTGGCTTTAAGGAGGTTTCTAGGCTCCCCATCGTTTGCCCACTTGTGAAACGGTGAACTTGGACTAGAATTAGGTGATGGCTAAAGCTGTCTCTCAGGTTACCTGTGAAACCAGATCTACCCTGCTGGAGCCTATTCCTTCCAATCTCCCTGTCCCTCCCGCCCCCACTTCACTTTTTCTCTCCCTACCAGATCAATACTTCTCTTTCAACTTTGTTCTTTCTTATCTGTGAAGGCCATTCTTGCGTCATCTGTGCAATCAATATGCTCACTTGCTGTACTTACAGTCCCTTGAAAATATTATCTCAGATTCAGGCTGTGTAGATAAGAACCCTGTAATTACCAAGGTGGCGTCCGCTCAGCGCCAACAGTCTCATTTTGGTCCGTGAAACCTAGTCCAATTGGACATGCTTTCCCAAGACGCGCTGCCCTTTTCTGTTGTTAATGTTTTGAGACAGGGTCATGCAATGAACTCCAGGCTGGCTTGTAAACCGTCTATTCCCTCTGGAGTGTGCCACGGGGTGAAGATGAGACCGGCTGCTTTCGCTCCTGGTTTGCCTCTAGTAATTATTTATTTCAGCCACTTTTTAGCATTAATCGTTTCCTCTGTAAGTTGGAGGTTTCTCAGAAGCTACATATACCAATGTCTCCGATAGGCAACCAGATGCAGGGAAGAATAAACATCTATGTCCTGGAGGGGATGAGCGAGAAGGCTCAGGGAACCTATGTTTGAGACTTATTCACTTTTTTTCAGAAGGGGAAGGTTTATTTTGGTTCATGGTTTTGTAGGGTTCAGCCAGTAATCTTTGTCCTTACTTATCGGTTCGACAGAGCCTCGCGCCGGCAGGAGCAATAAGGAGGAGGAGGAGGAGGTGGTTCGAGAAAGCAGAAGGAGCCAAAAAAAGAATCTACATTTTAAAAAATGGAAACCTCTTGATTTACTTAACTTGGGCATCTAGTTAAGCTATATTTCGAAAACTACCAAACTACTATGTGGGCTAAATGGCAGGGCTTTTTTTTTGCTCACTCAATTTGGCTCTGATTTTTCTTCTACCAAAGCACCTTGGAAAGCCAGGGCTCCCACGGTGAACACCCCTTTATGAATATTCCCACCGTGCCCCTGCACTAACACTTCTAATCCATGGACACTCATGGAATATTTTTGGGTGTCCATGCCTATTTTCCTCATTCAATTCATTCACTGTGGGATTTTTGTTTGTTTTAACGCCATAGCCTCTCAGCGGTTTCTTTCACTCGACCTTTTTTACTCTTTTCTCTAGATTTAATTAACTGCAAAGCGTCTGAGTAAGAAGACGCGGCCCGGGATATTACAATAAGAAGGATTCTATCCATGTTGACTGAAGAAAAAAAAAATAAAAATTGGCGCTGTAAACGGAGAACTCGAAATTCTGTTTAGGTTTGCATGATTCCTGGTTTCTGCCGGGGCTAAAAGACTGAAAATCGGTCCGTGCCGGAAGGAAAAGCCGTGCTGAGAGGACACACAGATCGTCTCTTTTCTCTCAGCAGAACAGCAATAAAACAGCGTATTCATCCTTTTCTGAGCGATCGCTGCTCTTTTACCAACGAATACTAACTAGGTCTTCTTGTCGTTTGCATTTATTACGGGGAGCGCCCAGTTATTAAACTGTTCTAGGCTCATGATCACATCCAATGCTTTGCTATTCCCAGTTTTTTTTTTTTTTTCTCACTTCCTCAGAATCCAGGTCCAATCCGGATCTGATCCAAGCTCTCCCTAGACCCTCCTCAGAGTCTTTTGGCGGGAACCTAAATTTTACAAAGGGGTTTCCTCCTCCATCCCACTATTCTTTATTCCTCTCTCGTGCCTTCCTCCCGATTTACAAAGAAATCTATTTTTGTCCGATTGCAGGTTTCTTTCTGGTGATCTTTGCCTACTTGCCTTTAACTGGTTACTATCAGGATCTCTAATTGGTCTTGTTTCACGATCACTCTCTGCTAAATGTGTCCAGGCGCTGTAGAGATTAACAATTCCTGATAGCCCAAACTAGGAACAAATCCTTTCTACAATTGTTCCACCAATCCCCCCGCCCCCCGGCCCTAATATCCTCTTAAAGATGGCTTTAGTCATTTTTATCTAGGTCACACTGAGAGCTTTCAGTTCTGAATTCCTGGGTCATATTAAAATGTAGCAGATGGGGGGGTGTGTGTGGGGCTTTGACCTTGTGAAACAATGATTTAGAAAAGCACAATACCGAAGAGGGCAAGACGGGAGCACATAACAAAAAGCTTTTCCAGGAAGCCAGGTTTTGTCCTAGTTTCTTCGGGTGTCCCCAAGGTACAGGTAGGGAGGCGAGGGGCAGGATGCATCCTCGATCCTAGGGGTCACGCCCGAGGCCCTCCGAACGTCCCCAGGAGGGGTCCCGGCCCTGCACGGCGCAGCTCTGGCGCTCGGTCCTCCTCTCCATCGAGCCTCCTTTCCCGGGTGACCGGAGCCGAGGAGAAGCAGCGGCCAGCGAGCCGGACCCGCCCCCGTTCCGCGGCGCCCACGCCCAGAGCGGTCCGTTGTCCCCGGCGCAGTGCAGCAGAGCGCGCACACACTCCCTCCCGGGGCCCGGACCGCGCACGCGCGTCGGGACCCGCGCCCTCGGCTGCGGGAGGGGCTGCGGGGGCGTCCCGGGGGCTTTAGAGGGGGGAGGGAGGAAGAGGAGGAGGAGGAGGAGGCGGCGGCGGCGGCCGCGTCGCCCTCGTCGGGGCTCGCGCTCGCCCCCGCGCTCGCCCTGCGCCTCGGCCGAGCCCCGCGAGGCTGAAACGCTTTCTCCCGGCATGCAGCGGGAGGAGGGATTTAACACCAAGATGGCGGACGGCCCGGATGAGTACGAGACCGAAACGGGCTGCGTGCCCCTTCTCCAACCCGAGGTGAGGGACCGGCGGCGAGCGCCTCTCCCGGGCCCCGGGGCCCGCGGTGGCCGCTCCCTCAGGCTCGCCGCGAGGGCGGCGGCCGAGGCGTCCGCGCGGGACCCGGCGGGGAGGGAGGCTGAAGGAGCGAGTCCAAGCAGGCCCGAGCGCGGCGGCAGCGGCGGCGGCGAGCGGATAACGGGGGAGGAGATAGCGGGGCGGGCCCGGCCGGGGCGGGCTCTGGGATGCCGTCCCTGGCGGTGCCTGGAGGACCGGGGTGGGGAAGTGGTTTGGGTCTGCCTGGTCGCCGCGCTGCTGGTGGGTGCCGAGGCGACGGGGGCCTGCTGACACTTGGGAACCTCGGCTCGAGCCCCTCGGGCTGGCTCCAAGCCTCTCCGGGAGCGAGGCGGGAGCCGATGCGCTTTGGATTTCTGTCCCCTCTCTATCCCTTTTCGCGGTGGATGACACTGTCCTCTCCGTTAGTTCTCTCGTGGAGTGGGAGGTGGGGGGATAGTAGTTGCTTGGGCGAAGTGATGCCCTGCCAGGATATGTCATAGCAACCATCTCGGCGCTCAGGACGTCGGATTTTCGGTGTTTGAGTATTTGCCCCCAAGCCATTAAAATAAAAATTTAAAAAAAAAGGAAAAAGAGGGGTCGGAACTTTGGAATAACCCCCCACCCACCCTCCCACCTATCCACACATACATGCTAGCTTGTCAGCACAACTGTTTTAGGAAGGTAGAGTGCAACACGTTTCCCATGGTTTCTTTTGTATCTTTCTCATGAAAAGTGCACGTCTCCGTCCCAGCTCGGTCACGTTCTGTAGTTGTTTACTTCCCAGTGTGTGGCCGAGTTTGTGTTTAGTTAAGACCTGGAAGCAGTTCTGTACGCATTCGGCTTGTTAGCCGGGCGCGGTGAGATGCGGAGTGGGGGGGGGGCAGGAAGGAGAAGCACAGCTCCCCGCAGAACTCTGGTCGTGCTTTGAGGTTGAGTTTTGTGCACACATCTGCGGTGTTCACTACGGGGCGAACCAAGGTGGTTCCTTTGCGTGAAATTGATTTTCTTTTTGGATTTTTTTGTACCTTGCGAAAATTGTGAATAACGGGGACCACTGTCTCATGTGTTCATTCTGCGTCATCAGTCATTGGCTCATTCATAAGTTTATTACACACACACACAACACACACACAACACACACACAACAAAACTAGAGTTTCTTAGAAATGTATGCCTGGACAAGTCTCATTAGAAAAAATTATTACGCAGTAAGAATAAACTTTTTACAAAATTGAAGTGGGAGAGCCAGGAAGGGTGGCTCAGTGGTTGAGGACCCGGGTTCAATTCTTAGCATCCACATGACAGCTCATGCCTGTCTCTAACTCCAGTTCCTGGGGATCCTCACACAGACATCCATGCAGGTAAAACACATAAGGTACACATAAAGTAAAAATAAATAAATCGTTAAAAAAAATGGAAGTGGTAAAATCTTAGAATTGGCATTAGAGACATTTCTTTTGGTTTACACTCAAGCCCTAAAAATATGTCCAGAAAGTTTTCCGACGTTGTGCTGTAAGTGTGGTTAAGGAATATTTCTATTCATCTGTTCCTGAGGGTGTATTTCAAGCACTTCAAGTGTTTTATATATTTTAGAGTCCGGTGACAGGGCAGTGGTTTGTAGGCGGAGAGAGGGGAATGAGGAGTTGAAAATTAACCTTAACAGTAGACGAGTTGAGGCCAACTTGGGCTAACTGATACCCTACCTCCAAACCAGACTATAAACAAACAAAACAACAAGCTTTTTGCTTCGTAAACGTCTTTTTTTTTTTCTTCCCTAAACATGATTTTGCAGGGTGTGGCAGTTCACTCCTAGTACTTGGGAGGCAGAGTCAGGAATGTCTGAGTTTGAAGTCAGACAGGTCTACATAGCAAGTTCCAGGTGGTCCAGGGGCTATATAGTGAGAACGTGTCTCAAAGCTTTTTTTTTTTTTTTAAACTTGAGCCTAGAGATTGCTCAGTAGGATAGAGAGCTTGAAGTTTAGGTGTCATCAGTTTGTTATTTAATAGATGCTATATTGCTAGAAAGTCAACTTCCCTCTTGCTCAGTTTAAATTGCTATGGTATATATTTCTTTTAACCAGTAAACACAAGGCCTAGTAGTTTCAATTCTGGAATTCTGGGGACTGACTGAAGGGGTTATTTTCTGTGGTTAGGTTCTCGCACCTGCTGTAGATCTGGTTCTGAGCCTTCCAGTGTGGTAGCAGAACAGGGCATGCTGTTTCTCTTGAGTTTGTGAAGTTGGGATGATGATGATGAAGAAACACTTAGCTGATGGGCTGTTAAGGAGGCTAAATGAGATAATGGAGAACACAGGCTCTTGGGTCAGAATGACTGGGGATTACAAATCTGCTGCTTCTGTTTTATTTCCTCCTCCTCTTTCTGCTGTTCCTCTTCAGGTAGGGTGTCTTGTAGCCTAGTCTCTACCCAAGGGAACAAAGAATGACCTGAGTTCTGGCCCTCACACCCTGGACTGTGCTCATTGTGTGCCTTTAAGTGTGCTCTCTGTACACTAGGCGAGCACTCTGACAGTGGAACCTCATTCCCAGGCCTAGATTCCAATTTGGAATCCTCAGCAATTAAATGATATGAAGTAAAAATTTGTTTAAGCCTCTATTTGTGCATCAGAAAATATCACAAAATGGTTTCTAAGTATTTGTTAAATAGATGAATTATTTGTAGGCTGGAGAGTTTAGCTGTTGCCAAACATGGTAGAACACAGCTATAATACAAATGCGTGAAGAACTGAAGCAGGAGGATTGTGAGCTCCCCGCTCGCCAGAGCTACAAGGCAAGACTGTCCCAGCCACTTTAGGAAGACTCTAGATATACTCAGCTATTGCCAAATTACCAATTTCTATGTAAACTGCCCATGTCAAAACCTTTTTAAGACAAATATGGGCAATGAAATATTTTAGAGGTTTTTTTTTTTTATAAGAAAATCTTAACTTTTTAGATGAAACACCATTTGTTTAGTGAGTCAAGTAAATACTTGTTTACCAGATTTGGACTAGGTGTGGCCCTGAATTCAGAATTGTGTGTGTTTAAATCAAGAAGAGGCACTATAGAATATGGATTAAAAGTGAGTTTTGCTGTTCACTGTCAAATTGTATTTACCTCATTTGTAAAGTCAGGTTGCTATTACCTCCTTTTAGAGTCCTTGTGAGCATAAGTCTTAGGCAAGCTACTGTTTGGAAAGCAGCCGTCACACATTTGGACTGACCCGCTAACCTTCTAAAGGCCATGAATACCACACAGTGTCTACTGAAAGGGAAGTTGATATTACCACTGCTCTGTTGAAATAGGCGATAATTCATTTTATCACAGAGGAAGAATTAGAGGATATTTGGAACTAGATAAACTGCCCATCTGTGGATTAGGGCTGGTCCTGGGTCAGTAACCCCGAGTTAGTAGATGCTTAACTGCTCTTAGTTTCTTTGCTTTTCAGATAAAGAGACTAGCCTAGATGATCCCCAAGATCTCATTGAACTCTGGTGTTCTGATTGAAGTTGTGATTTTTTTTTTTTCAGGGTAATCAACTTGAACATCTCATTGTTGTAGACACAACACTGTTTTAGATCATGTGAGTTAAAATAAAGTGAAATGTACTGTTTTCCAGAAAGTAATAGTCTAGCAGGGAATATACATGTCTATGAAACACTCCGTGGATCCAAGTCAGTGCTGAATGGAGTAGAAGAGCCTGCTAGCAGTGTCAGGTCCCGTCACTCAGAATAGCTGCTGTAAGACTGGGAAAGGGACAGGTAGCCTGTGCTGGTCTGCAGTCCAGCTTCTCCTGATTCATAGTAGCCTCAAACCAGCTGATGATCACAAACCCTTTCTGCCTGCGGATCCCAGGAGCTCAGCACCTAGATGATCTGGGTTACTGCTTTCCTCCTTTCCTCCCTCGTCTTCCCCCAACCCACATAATGTGTGTGCTTTTTAAGTGGTGATGCTTAATTTTATATTTGTTTTTAATACACTCTTTTTCTCATGACTTGTCGTGGTTGACTGTTGAAGTAAAGCATCTGCTGCCTTTACAGGTTTTCCTCTTAAAGGGTCCTTTCAGGCCTTAGCGATGACTCTGCTGTTTTCCATTTGTGCTTTTCATCCTATTATGTATGCGTTTAGAGATACATTGTTTATGTGTATAAGTTAATGTCTTGTTTTAAACAATACAGGAAATTTCTTTCAAAGTTGTTTTCTTCTGTTAGGTTATTGGCAGCTCTGTCATCAGATTCGGGTTTGCAGACATTAGGTAGGACGTCTTTTTTCTTTTTAGCTTTTTTTTTTTTTTTTAAATTGGGTGTAGTGGTACATGCCTTTAATCCCAGCACTTGTAGGCAGAGGCAGATGGATCTCTTGAGTTTGAGGCCAGTCTGGTCTACAAAGTAAATTTCAGGACAGCCAGGGTTATGCAGAGAAACCCTGTTTCAAAAAACAAACAAACAAACAATTCTTATTTTTATTAAGTATTTATGTGCATGTGTTTGTGTGCGAAAGCTTATGGAGGCCAGGTGAGTGCAGCAGAGCCCTAGAGTTAGACTGAGCTATCCCATGTGGGTGCTGGGAACTGAGCATGGATCCTCTGCAAAACTGCAGGTGCTCTCAGCTGAGCTGCCTTTCCTGTAACCACTGCTATAAACTCAGATGACAGGCCACGTCTCACCAACCTCTTGATTTAGAAGATGATACACAGAAACTCCCAGGAAATTTATGTTAAAGAACATTTCAACATATTTAAAGCTCTTAACTCTTAGCCTCTCATATCTTAACTTTATCATAACTTCATGGGGGAAGACATGGGTTAGATGAAGACTATGCATATGTTTAAATCGGAAGGACAGCTTTGTCACAGGAAACCTGCTTCCATACAGAGTTCTCTAAAAATAGGGGTTTATGTTATATTTATTTTGAAAAAGTTCCAAGGGGATTCTTACAAGTACCCCTTCATTTTATCCTCCCCTCTTC